TTCGAAACTAACCCTGCTGTATGAAGCCAAAGGATCGTACTTAGTCCGTCGTTTGAATAACTGTACTACAATGTTCGACAGCACTAACCTGCTGAGACAAGGTACCGGCAGATTTTTGGAAATGGTTTATTCTTTTCTCCGCCCAAATTCTGGACAGGTTATCTAAAGCACTGGAGGCAACGGGAATTCTCCCATTTAACTCTGACAAGTTTTGCTGCCTCAAAACCATTTTTATCTTCAGCTGTAGCAAGGCCTTTTGAATTTTCAGTTGTGTGAGTGGATTTGTACAAGTCTCCAGTGTTGCAGGAAAATTAAACGTCGGAGAAAACTTGCCAGAAATGAAAACCAACCGCTCAATCGGTCAGTTGAGACATTTCTCCTCTTCTGCCAGTGAAACAGTTTTAGAATTCGGGCTAGAATGAACAGAATTCCCTGCTTGTCGGATAACTGTATTTCTCCTAGAATACTGTAGTACATGCCGTGAAATTTAGTCTTAGAGGAGTCATTCGTTACTTGACATACCAGACACGTTTCTATAATAGTATATGAGGAGTACTTCCAGTTCCTGAAAGATCGTTCTTAATAAGCGCGAGATGACCCTAACGGACAAAATGATGCGCGATGCATCTGGCAGTACAGATGCTCAAATGTCATCGAGCCTTGGCCCGCTAAACCACCTCCCCACAGGTTATTATGAGCAAGTGCACAGTGCGATACACACTGAGAACTGGTCTTGCATGAGTGATTCATTACAGTACGAAGTTGTTCATATTTACTTTTGCAACAACATTGTAACTTGGTGTGACATTTAGGCCACTGAAATAAATGATCGGATGGGCAAAAGCGAACTGCACCATATGCAGTAAAACCATCGTTGGGGACAATGGCGTAATCAGATAGTTTGTTGCTGCGCACTTTAAAGGTAAAGAATTCACTTACGTGTTACGGCGTTACTAGCTGAGAACAGGGAGCAAGATGATCACCAGTTCATAACAGGGAGAGCACGGTGCTTGGGCGATGTCCTATGAATGCTTTAGAGACATAGGGCAATGCTGTCTGATGTATGCGCTTCACGACTATAATTTGCTTTCATCTACCTGATAGCTGAAACATCAACACTAGGAAAGTTAAAAAGAAAATCAGAACATGGTTACAGCAATCATACCGGAGAGCACCACGCTGATCATGTTGTTCACAAATGAACCAGTTGCTGCTCGCTTCTAGGCCGGATGTACCGAACATGGGGTAAATTCCTCACTGAATGGAATTAGCATTTGCTAATAAAAGTTATTTTTCATTTTTCAGGATTCGAACCTGCCTCTAAGTTAAAAAAGGCCTGACTTTTTTACACTGTCCACTAATGAAGTAACTATTCATATATCACCTTTAAACGAACGAATATGCACGGATAGATCGCATTAACGTTGTCATATAACAGGTTCAAATCTAGAAAAATAAAGAATCCCACGTGTGTGGTGTTGACAGTCTAAAGTAGTGCCTAGCATTTGTATTCCAGAGCATAGATAGAATGAGGATGTGGGTAAAACACATTGCTTGCATTGGAACAAAGAATACGTTGTCATGATGTGTGCTTACATACATAAAATAACGGATCAGTTTATGAAAAAATTACACATGCTAACATCGATACAGATGATAATACAGGCAAATTTTAGATCTGCAGGATGTATACATTTGTCTCCGCACTATCTTTTCAGATATTTTGAAATGACAAGAAAGCATGTGTAATTTGAAGAAGAAGGATTAAAAAGTATCGAAGGGAGGACGATGCTAGATGATGCAGATCCTGCTGAACAGGCTTTCCATGGAGCTGTCCGAGAATATATTGTAAGCCTTTGGTTTTATAATTGCTAGTAGAAAATTTTCACTTCTCTGGTTTGTTTTGATAGAAATATTAAATGTTTAGTGTGGTCATGAGTATCTTGCCTTAAATACTTATTTTTGGATTAATTTTTTTCTTTATGGCAGTGAATGTGCTTCTAATCGACGCTGTTTACCATCAGTATTTTGTATTTAACCAAATAACTGCTTCCCATTCTTTCGTTACGACGACAAAATTTATTAAAATATCTCCAAAATAAAGTTGATATTTTCATTCGTGCGAAATTAGCCTTCGATCAGTAGCCAAATAAATCTGATAAAGATTGACATCGAACAGCTCAAAATACTGTATTTTGTATTTGTTTGGAATGTTCCTTGTGTACAAGTCGTGTAATGCAACAGTTTTCACGAAAGGTGCCAAATACTTAATCACCATCATCACCATTTTCATCTCTCATGCCCGCTTCTCCTTTCGGGTCGCTTAGGCAAACGCGTCAGACAGTGGTTCCAACGTTCCCGATCCTGTGCTAGAGTCTGACCTTCAGCAGAAGACAACTGGAGTCTGGAACAGACTCCTTCTGTATATATGCACCAGGTTAATCTTGGTCGTCCCCTGGGCCTTCTACCGGTCGGTTTCGCAAGAAACAGTTGTTTAGTCTTCCTTTATGGATGCATTCGCGACATGTGTCCAAACCATCGCAGCTGTGACTTCTCAGTCTGGAGAAGCAAAGGCTGTACACCAAGGCTCTCACGATGTCAGTGTTCCGGACCATGTCGTGTCAAATGCTTTCCATTAATAATTTATACTGATTATTAGTGGTTATCTTATTTTCATCACCCTGTCATTAACTAGTTCTTTGACAAAATAAGCAGGTTTTCTACATTGGTTCTGCGTCGTTTGCTTAAAGGGAATAGTGGCGCAATAAGTTCATAGTTTACTTTGCACTTTTTGATTTGTTGGCGTGGTGACCTGGTGCTTAAGGGGTAGATTTTGAAGTCCGGAGTTGTCAAGTTCGATTCCGGCGGAAGGCTGTCTTTTTCCTAACCACGAATAACGTTAATCAAGGAATTTACCACATGCTGCTTCAGACCAAAATTGCTCAGTTAGTGCAGCGTCGCAATCAAAACCGAGTGATGCCGGGTTCGACCCATGCAAGACCACTCGTTTTTTTTACATCCGAGGTTTAAGGTTGAATACGACTCTGTTGGAAAGAAACAGGAAACTTCACCTTATGTTTGTCATGTAGCTGTTGTCGACTCTGCCATTAAACATAAGGCACTCCTAATCAGTAACATAGAAATGAAGATCAGCACCCCACCACTTCATTAAAAAAGGCTTCAGAATGGTCACATCATGAGAGTGTAAAGAAAACCGATATTCTAACTGTAAAATCTTTTTTCCGTTACTTACAGTGTAGACTCTCGGGTTAAAAGTTCCAAGTGCAGCGTAAATTTACTTATTACCTGCTAAATGTTTTGTACAGGGAATTCGCTTCATAAAATGTTGGTGTTGCTAGCAGAGAAATGAACAGCAGGTCGTTGACACCTGTGAATAGAGGAAGAATAAGAAATCTACTCGTTTGGAAAATAAGGATGGTTACAGCACAAAGTGGTATCTTCATGCCAATGAGTTAAATGGCAGCAGTAAACAAATTACGTAAAATTGAAAATGTCTTATTTGCTCTGAGCGTTGTGACACCAGGCTTTGTACGATCATTTGTTACCCCTCTTTGGAATTTCTGAAAGTTCTGGAATTCAAGGGTCGAATTGATCTGCGGTGTTGTTCCCTATGTACGTGAATGGCAGTGACTGAACTTCTGGTTTCAGCACGTATTTTAACCTCCTTCAGAAGCTGTTTGTGCAGTGGATATCACTTATCAACATTTGTCCTAACCGCATGATTACTTCCAAGACTAGATAGATCATTCTCCAGAAATTTCTGGTCGGTCGATCTTGCTGACATCCCGAGTGGTCAGCATAACTACGAAAGATGACATTGTTATTCTGTCGGAGATCTGTGAAACTCGCAAAATCAAAGTAAATGAACAGCGGCAGCAAGCAGCCAAAAACAGGCGGTCGACCCATCTTGCTCGAAAATGGAGTTGATAATCTTAGCTGTTTGAAAAAACCTTGCTACCTTCGTAGCTACCGTCGGAATGCGATAAGTTCACTCCAACCTCTCGTCCATACGTGCATCCAGATACTTAATAATGTCAAGACAAGAGACAGGCTCATTCTCTGTTAATGGCTTGTTCTACACTTCTATGTGGACCTAGTGTTTTCTACGACGGAAGTCAACTGCTCTCATTTTGTTTGATCAACTGCTCATTGCATCTTGGAGCGTTGATAAATTAGCAATGCTTTGGATGGCCTCTGTTATTATGTGGTCGACATTTCTGACATATGTGATGGCAAAGCAACGTGAAGTGAGCTGCTGTAAATTTAAGTAACATTGAAGATAGCACAGAACCTTATAGAACTGCAAGGTTATTCGTCAACGTCGAGGTGCAGCTCTTTCTGGCACCAGTATTCGGTTGTTTGTATGAATAATACTCCATCAGCCAATCGAGAAGATGTAAAGAATATTGTAGGCCCCTGTGGTTCGTTAGATGCCTGAGCATGGCTTCACTGCAGTGGGTCGATAATTTTTTAGTCTAGTTGATATTGATATTTCTTTTGCATTAATGATTCCAGTTATACCCCACACAAGTCCAGGATTGCTTTGGAATTCGTGCAACGGTCTACAAATTCTGGAGAGCTCCAGAGAGCTTGTTTCTGCATAGCACATAGACTTATGATGTTACTCTATCAGATCTGTCAGTGCCAGAAGCACAATTGAATTTTAGCGAAGCTAGAGAGCGTTTTACCTTCGCTTAGCTATCCAACCGGCTGCTTAGTTTGGCGACGAACGAGAAATTCTCGATTTGATGATCTAGCCTCTGCAGAGTAGTGGTCAAAGTGCCGCATGTTCAGGACATTCAGATCTTCTAGATTAGCTTTTGAGGACTGGATTTCTATTTTAAATTTTCTTTCGAATAATTTAGAGGCAGTTTGTACTGAGCTAAATCTCCAGAACGATATGCAGCTTCCTTCTGACTATGCAAGATTATAAATTTAAGGATGAATATCAAAAAAGAAGTGGACGCAAGATATCTCGTATGACTGCCTGTTCATCCAGCATACTGCAGTCGAATTCAGATCATAAGGTGGGGTCAGACATTGTTTTTTGCTGGTCAGCTTCTGAACAGAATGATAGAAAAATGTGGTGTTCTTCTGTGGTCGTTTCAGAACGTGCGAAGAATACGGCATACAAATGAATGTTTCAGTTACTCTCGAGGCTGTATTTGAAAAGTGTTCCACCTCTTAGGAAATGTGAGAGTTAGTGGATTGCAGTTAAAAACTTCGTCATTAAAAGTTCATAACCTGATTTTGTATTGTGTACCTCTCTAGGCATTACAACGCTTAGGTCTGGTTGTTAGTCAGTGTACTTTTATTTACTAACAGTAACACTTCTTTCGATTATGGCGCGGTAAGTTGCATCTCACAAATTTTATGGATAGCAAATTTAAAAGAATAGCTTGCTTTCAGAAGTATTTTTCCTTGGGCTGATAAAAATACACTGTTGTATGGTGATTTGTACGTATAGGTTATCAAGTATTATATGAATACCTTTGGCACTGTTAAATATGAAATGATTAAGCCACAGCTTACGTAATTTTCTTGACTTAGAAAGTATCTCATATACAGTGTTTGCTATATGTTGCGGTATCAGTACTATGTATTCTGGTTGCAAGTTCAAGTTGCTGACTATATTTTCTTATCATTGCTTTGCATTTAGGTTTGTTTGCTGATTTTCTTTGGTCTTTATGGATGCTCTTACAGCTTTATTCGTTTCATCAGAAATCGGAAGGAGAACGATGAACTCTACTTAGGTATTTCTGGCAATTCTGCATGCTGAGTCATTCTGTTACCTGTTTATGATGACTGGTCAGTATTTTGCAGGAGACGAAGGCGATATCGTTGTGTTCCGGGTAGCGTAAGTACAAACATTTTACGTTTTTGTATTTAATCTTCCTCTTGTTTTAGAAATTACATATGCAATCTTTCTATGACGGTGTCCATCGCTTCCGTCCTGCTGGTGCCGTTTTCCATTTTTAGTAACGAGTTCTTGTTAATCTATCCTCACAGCTTTTATATGCAGTGGTTAAACGAGTCCTTAATTCGAAGTAAGTCGTTTTTTAAATTTCTTTTCCGTAACGGTTCATCTTGATAATTTTTAGGCTTGTGGAACTATGTTTTTTTACTCAACAATTTGTGTCTTTTCGTACTGCTTCCGTTCGCATACTTTTTTGTCGAGTCTCAGGGCATCATAGGACTTCGCAGCGGAATTGTGACCCGTGTATGCGAGACTGTCTCAGTTTGCATCTTCGTAGTAATTGTCGTCACAAATCTATTCCGTCTCGGTTTCTACTTTTGCTTCGGTGATCATATGGAATTTCAGTTTTTTTCCTGTAAGTAAATTGTAATTAATACATATTATTTGCAGATTTGTGCATTTCGTCGGCTTCGGAGTTTTTCAACCCAGGAGCCGATGTTTTATTTAATATAAGATAAATATTTGTTAAGGTCGTTTCTTTTAAATTACGCCATGTATGATCAAGGTGCCATGGGATGGACTCCTCCATGTAACTTTTATGGCATAGACACATGTGGTGATCATGGGACAGTTCGAGGACTGGATGGTTGAAAGATTTTGAAAAGCTGCTATTCTGTACTGTAGACTTTAGTTCATGGAGCATACCTGCATGGGATGATCTCAACCAGTGCTAAATCCTGAGGTCTCTTCCCTTGCTACTAGAAATTAATGATTAGCTTTGAAAACTGAAGGATAGCCACTTTGGCTTGAATCATAATACGCTTTTTCATGAAGCAGTGATTCATCTTCTCTGCTCAGTGAAAGTTTAGGTTTCATAAATATTGCAGCGTTGTCAATTTGGTTTTCTGCAATGAGATTTTTCTTTATTTTACGAGGAAACCTGGAGTCCATTTTTCAGAAATGAACAAGTATGATCGCTGCTTAATGTAAAATTGGTCAGCTATTCAGGAACTGAAAACCTTTGTGTTTCGTAGTTCTTTTCAACGTGGTATTGTCTAAACAATGTGACAGATTCCTTTAAATTTAACCTAACTGAAAACTGCTTTTGTTTTGAATGTCGATTTTCCTAGCTTCCAATTATTCCAATTACGATCACCACTGTTTTGAGAGCGTTGTTTCTCATCAAAAATTTGTTTATTTACTTTTCGATTTGTGGTTTAGCTATGATGTTATCCATTGTCACTTTTATCGCCGTAGTTAATTGAGATAAATCTGCGTTTAGATGCCATGATCTGTATCATAAGTCATGAATTGAATTTCTTTTATGGAATGTAAAGAAATACCGCAAAATGGAAATGTGGATGTTACTCTGTTTTCTACAAGGAATATATGTTCTTAAAAGCAATTCTCTCTTCCACGATTCAGCTAGTGCATGGAAGTTGATACCTGAGGAAATTGCGTTTCCGCTTTACTTACTTCGGATTTTGCCATTTTGTCAGTGTCGTGAACAGCAAAATGAGGAAATGATAGATTTTGTTTAGGAGAGGTGCATTCTCCTTTGCCACAGAACCAATAAACCCTACTGTGCCGATTCATTATGTCCCCAGTACAGTAGGCAGAGTATAGCACTAATTTGGGCTTTTCTCTCTGGATGGTCATTACTACGAAACAAAGAATCACTACACCGCGATGATTTAGATGCGTTCTCTAACTGACTCTTTGCCATTAATAAAATAGACAGTAATAGTCTCGTTTTAAGATATATGGAATCGCCTGCCTCTCATATACTCGTGTGTTTCGATGTTTGGCGTAATCTTGCTGTTAGGTAAGTTGTTGATCATGTCAGAAATTCGTACATGATTTTATGTCAGAAACTGTTGTTTAAATATTGAAAAATCTTGCATCTGTGGATATTATTCTTACCATATCTAAATACTGTCTTGTTGTATGCTCTGTCTAAACATCCCTGTGTTTTGTTCATACGTCGATTGTTCATTTCTGTTGAAATGGTTTATTAACACTGCATGTTGTAAGTGGCTTCGCGAGATAGCCAAATATCAAAGTCAGTATGGGGTAAATTTCTTGCTCAAGGTGATTGGCAGTTAAGACAAATTTTGTCATTTCTCAGCACCTGAACCCGTTGTCTCCGGAGATCCAGTTTCGAACCGATCTATTGACCACAGCACAACTGCGGACCAATTACATGTAAGACCTACTTTTTGATGTAATTTTCGAGCGCAATTTATTTGGCCTTTTGACCGGATAAATGTCATCCTACTGAGCTGAAAAATTTCTCAAACGGACTCATCTGAACTATTTCAGCTCATCTGAAAAGTGCCTTGTTCTTTTTGGCTTGCGTTTCTATCGGCACTGACGAATTTTCTAATTACTTTGGGCATGGGAAACATTACCGAGATTCTGACCCGCTCGAATTACAGCAAAGATAGTGTCTGTGCCTGATTGCCAGGCGTAGTACTGCGCATTTCCAGGTGGAATCAGCCGTCACCGAAATAACGCTGCGAATGATCACAGTACAAGTTTGTTCAACTTTTGCATGACAAACAGCCTGATCATCAGCGGACTCTATGCCTTTATTCTTGAAGTTACCAGCCCACATGAGCGTTCTCCACTGAATTCCTAAACACGCAACTAGACCACAGTCTCATCAGTCCTAAATGGCGCATCCCGCTGCTCGAGATATATCGTTGTCCCTTCTTTGGGTCTGATCAGCACTTGGTCGTTGCGGAACTTCGCCTAAAATTTACTGTTCTGTCGATTTCGTCTGACTGAATTATCAACTTCTCGATGTTGATTGGCCAATTTAAACTGTGACACAGCGGCGAAATAAGAACTTGAAGAAAGTGGTGTGGACAGGAAGTGATTTTATTGTTCCCCGCCATACTTAGTTTGTGTCTACTGGGGAAGTGGCAACTTCGAACGATGCTTACAAAGACGTAAAATAAAGCGCCTTTTCGACAACGAAAATCGTTTTCGCGGACATGCAGAGAAGACTAAAGGTCATAAAGAGCAAGGGAACCAAACAAAAAAGAAGTTGTCTCCAACACCCTGTTGCATTTCTGAAGGCATCTGATCGTCATATCGTTCGTCAGTCAGCCAAAGCTGCAGGCATGAGGGAAAACACTTTGGCTGAACAAAAAAATCAAGACGATCAAAAAGCAGCCAGAAAATGTGACTGGCGAGCAGTGCTGCGGTAAGCAGGGTAGCGATATGTCTTTACCAAAGAAATGAATGGTGTCCCGTTGGCAAATCAAAGGGAATGCCTCGAAATGTAGGATGCTTCTTTCGGCCAATGGCTCATCTCTGATCCTCCAAATCCTATTCTCCCACCGCTAAGTTTTCGCCAGCGGTAGAGGTTAGTGTAGATAGTGTAGACCCACAAACCTAGAAATGAAATGTGAACATGGTTTATTAATGCACAGCGCCTTCTTCAAAGTGGACAGGATATTTTGTTGAGAGGTCTTCTCACGAGCCGAAATGTCGGTACTGGTTGATCACCCGATTGACCAGTTTCTTTGCTTTGTGTATGAATAGACGGTGTTCTTAAACTTTTTCAGTACATACACCCATACGAACGAAATACTCAGTCTTCACAAATCTGGAAATCCATTAACTCCTTACTGATCCTGCTGATGCAGACCTGTTGGATGGATCGAATTCCTTTAGAGCTATTTAAGTGTGGAGTTGCGGGAATGATAAAAAATACTCTGTGATCTATTTCATCAGTGGGATCCACAAAACAGTTTCCTGGAGAATGTAAGTATGGAGCAATCGTCCTTTTATTTATAGGGTGTCGGGTGATCAGTTATTGATGTTGTGGTTTACACTACTATCAACTCAGGTGAAACTCTTTCTATTAATTGTCCTGGAATGGTTTGGATGTGCAGTGAATAGAAGTCTTACAGAATGGAGGTTGCCGATGTAGGACTTATTCCTGTCGTATCCTAAATTTTATTCTTCCAGATACCACAAGGTGCTCGCGTAGCAGAGCTTCCGGTACCATCAAATATCTACCTGATCATCAGCGTGGAGCACGGGGAAACAAGGTTGAGGCAGATGTGCTTTCGGAGAAGAACTGTTCTTTCTATTATGCAGTAACTGATGCCTTATAGGAAAGGCGTTGTGAAGCTGCGAAATCAGCGGACATCACAGTCCAGATATTTTCTATTTATGTAAACTGCTTAAAGAAACAAAATCTTTTTGCTTAGACTTAGATGGTCATTTCAAATATTCACTGAACCGAGTAAAGCAGTGTAGCGAATACAGTTTGAACCGCGCATAGAAAGGTTTTTAGTAATAATACGTAAAGAAATAGCGGAACGGGACGATTCGACGCCGATCGATAGTCGGCGTTAAGGGGCAGTACTCTGGCGCCAGCTTAATTGTCATAATTACAATGTAGTCATCGCGATGAACTGTTATATCCAACCCACCATATTACACATCCATGAAAAACTCTCCATAAGGACAATATGAAACTCTTATTTACCAAGTAACGAATATCTCCCAGTTAGTAAAATGCTAAGCATCTGTCAACTTAGTGAATTACAGTTTTGTTTTATGATGGTGAGAGTAAGTGCGTTCATTAATTTCGAGTTATGCGGTTTCTTTATGCGTAACTTGATAGGTTTTGCGATTTATTTATTTATTTTTATTTGTGGTGTTGTATATCAGTGGGAAACTCACTGAAAACGCAGTAATAATCCATTGACAAATTTATGAATTTCGAATATTTCTGTTTCATATCGTGATTCTACGTTATGACTGCGCATGGACATTCAAGTTGCGAGAACATTTCTATTCATTGTTTCTTTTCAAAGTTGTGTTGGAGCGGATAATTGCGCCAATTATTTCACTAAATTGAAATTTGTGAATATGATTAGTTTGAGATCTAATTTTTATGAAAGAACAACGAGCTGATATATGAAGGAACTTTATCTATGTAGAAAAATTTCATATGCAGTATATAACATCATCATTATTTTGACAGAAATTTCACATTGTGCTGACGATGAGCTTCTCACAGATATGTAACATGGTGGGTTGGATATTACAGTTGATCGAGATGATCGCAGTCCAGTCGATCAGCGCCGAATCGTCACAGACCGAAGAAAGAGATGTCGGAAGCCTAATTAGATTAAAAGTTTCTGAAATTGATGTTTCTATCGTTTGCTGGGAAGAATGCTACGCTTTTTTAAATTTATTGAATGCCATGGTAAACGCATTTAGCGAGATCTATGGAGTATTTGCTTATGATTGAATTTGAGCAAAGGTGAATATACAATAACCTCGAAATTTCTTTAATGTTCATTTGCATTGTTGTGCGAATATATTTGTTTACACCTCACTGTTGTTGTTTGTAGCTTGTGCCCCTTTTGGCTTGGTGTGTATGTTCGACTTTCTTCACACTCTGATAATGAAACCAAAGGTAAGTACTCTGTGATAGAATAATATTTGGCACGAAGTATTCACAAAAGTTTCTATGATCGTGCATTATTGAGCATTTGTAATCACTGAATCTTCAGATGTCCAAACTTGTAAAATGTATTCTTTTGTTAAAATCTTTACTTATCTCATTTTCATAGCTTTTATGTATTCATCCTTCCTATTGAAATCAAGAATCAAGAGGCTGCTTTTTGTGATGAAAGCCATTATGCTGATATACAAATAAAGTTGGAATCGAATATTTTTCTCTCGATTTTTAGTTTATTCGATCAAAATATAAGCTTATAAACTTTAAGTCACCTTGATATAATCTTATGCTTCAGTTTTCTGGTTTCTATCTTTCGATATGTCTAACGTTGAATCGCTACTTCACATGGAAACAGACTTGTATACCCTGATTATAACTGAATTTCGTTCCTAAATGCTGAGTTTCCTGTTCGTATTCAATCCAGTGAATCAGCCTGTGGTTTATTAGCTTACTTGGCGGGTTGCTTTCAAAAAATTGACAACCTCAGAAAACAGTGAACACGGCGTTTACAACACATATAGCCAACACAGCGGTTTCCATCAACTGTTGCGTCAGAGTAAACAGCGTTAAGTCGAGACTCTTTAGCGTTACCACTGTTCTCTGCCATAGGTGCGTTCTGTCTGTTTTTCTGTTTATATTGTCGATGGAGAGGACAGTTAGGCGGTTTGAGTGATTAGTTTATCGGAATAGGTATGGTCAACACTACCATCTTCTGAAACTGATCTCCTACGCTTTGTGGTGATCGCAGTCTAAATGATCAGCTGGCATTTGAACGCGTCTAAAACCAAAAGCGTAGTGCTTTCTCATTCTCTTGTCCT